CAAGTGAATTTCAAACCAACACTGATTAAGAGAGACAAAGAAGCACACTACATCCCTGTAAAAGGAACAATCCAAAGAGAAAGACATGACAATCATAAATATATATGCACAAAACACTACAGCACCCAACTATATAAAAAAATACTAGCAGACATGCAAAATAAAAGCACTAATACAGTAGTAGTGGTGGACCTCAGTAACCCACTGTTACAAATGGATAAAGCACACCAAAAAAAAAATAATAATGAAATACTAGAACTCAAACGCTTGAACAAATGAACTTAACAGATTTTTACAGAGTGTTACACCCCACAAAATCAGAATATAAATTACTCTCAGCTGTACATAGATCATTCTCCAAAGTAGACCACATACTCATTCATAGAACATGTTTAAGTAAGTGCAAAAGAATTGAAGTGATTCCCTATGTATTACCAGACCATAGCACAATGATATTGGAGATCAATAGCAAAAGAAATTGCAAGAATTTCATAAACACATGGAAATTGAACAACACATTTGTTTTTGTTTGTGTGTTGGTTGGTAATGGGGATTGAACTCGGGACCTTGAGCTTGAGAAGCAGGTGGGAGAACCACTATGCTAAATCCCTAGCCCTGAACAACACACTTCTGAATAACCAGTGGTTCACATAGGAAATTAAGGAAATCAGACAGTTCCTACAATTAAGTGACAAAGACAATATAACATTATCAGAATCAATTGGACAGAATGAAAGCAGTCTTACAAGGGAAATTCATAGCAGTGAATACTCATGAGGAAAACAGAGCAAGCTCAATTACACAACCTGATGCTGAACCTCAAGCTTCTACAAAAAGAAGAGCAGAACAAACCCAAAGCTTGTACAAGGGAGGAAATTATAATGATCAGAGAAGAAATCAATGTAATGGAGACTAACAGAACAATACAAAAAAAAGAATGAAGCCAAGAGTTGATTCTTTGAAAGTAGAAACAAAATTGACAAACCCTTAGCCAAGCTTATCAAATAAAGGAACAGAAAAGGCCCAAATCCATGGAATTTGGAATAAAAAGGGTGAAATTATGACAAAACCAGCAGAAATCCAGAGGACAATCAATACCTACTTGAGGAACCTATACACCAATAAGATGGCAAATACAGAAGACATGGACAGATTCCTAGATACATATGAATTATCAAAGTTGAATAAAATGATCTAAAAATTCTAAATGATGCAATACCAATCAATGAAATTGAAAACCTAAATAAAAACTTACCAATTAAGAAAAGTCCAGGTCCTAATGGCTTCACTGCTGAATTCTACAAGACATTTAGAGAGGAACTACTACCACTACTGCTTAAATTCTTCAATGAAATTAAAAGGGAAACAGTACTCCCAAATTCATTCCTAGAAGCAAGCATCACTTAAACCCCAAAGCAGAGAAAGACCCAACTGAAAAACAGAGCCATAGTCCAATCTCACTAATGAACATAAATGTGAAAACCTTAGGAAGATATTAACAAATAGAATGCAGAAGATCATACACCCTGACCAAGTGGGATTCATCCCAGGGATACAGGGATGGTTCAACATATGCAGATCCATAAATGTAATACACTACATTAACAGAGTAAAGGACAAAACCATATGATCATCTCAATAGATGCAGAGAAAGCATTTGACAAAATCCAACATGCATTTATGATAAAAAAAAACCTCCAAAAAATGGAACAGATGATTTCTACCTCAACTTGATAAAGGCTATCTATGAAAAACTAACAGCCAATATCATACTAAATGGTCAAAAATTGAAATCCTTCACACTAAAATCAGGAACAAGACAAGGATATCCACTATCACCGCTCCTGATCAATATAGTTTTGGAAACATTAGCCACAGCAATGAGATGAGAGAAAGACATAAAAGGAATAAAGACAGGAAATGAAGAAGTCAAATTATTTGCAGATGATATGTCACTCTAATTAGAAGGCTGCAAGAACTCCACCAAAAATCTTCTAGACTTAATAACCAAATTCAGCAGAGCAGCTAGATACAAGGTCAACACACAAAAATGAATAGCATTCCTATACATAAAAAAACAAACTCACTGAGAAAGAAATAGGGCAAACAATTCCATTCACAATAGCATCCAAAAAATAGATTTACATAAGAATCCACCTAATGAAAGAAATCAAAGACCTCTACTCTGAAAACTATAGCATTCTGAAAAAAGAGACTGAAGAGGATATCTGAAAATGGAAAAACACCCCTTGCTCCTGGGTAAGAAGAACCAACATAGAGAAAATGGCCATACTTCTAAAACTTCTGTATAGATTTAATGCAATCCAAATTGAAAACCAAAAAACATACTTCACAGACCTTGAGAAAACAATCCAAAAATTAATTTGGAACAAGAAGAGACCTAGAATAGCAAAAGCAATACTAGGCAATAAAGACAAGGTAGCGGGTGCCACAATCCCCAACTTGAAACTATACTACAAAGCTACTGTGATAAAAACAGCATGATACTGGCAAAGAAACAGACTTGAGGACCAGGAAAACAGATTAGAAGAAGCAGAAACAACTCTAGACACACTCTGGAAGAGAGATTAGGCAGAACTCTTGAAGACATTGGTGTAGGAAAAGATTTTATGAACAAAACCTCAGTTGTCCATTAACTAGCAAAAACAGACAACAAGCGGGGTGTCTTTTTAATTAAACAGCTTCTGCATAGCAAGAGAAACAACCAACAGTGTGAATGGACAACCCACAATGTGGGAAAAACTTCACCAGCTCTTCCTCAGACAAAGATCTGCTAACTAAAATATATAAAGAACTTTAAAATATCAGACCTCCTAAATTTAAAGACCTAATCCAAAAAGGGACATCTGAAATAGACATTTCTCAGACAAAGTAGAAATAGCAAATAAACATATGGTCTTTTGAGAGATGCAAATGAAAACAACCCTGAGATTCCACCTCACTCCAGAAAGAATGGCTGCTATCATGAAATCATCCAATAAAATGTGCTGGCAGGGCTGTGGGGAAAGAGGAACCCTACTCCACTGATGGTGGGAGTGGAGACTGGTGCAACCACCAGTTGTGGAAATTGGTATGGAAATGCCTCAAAGAACTAGGACTGGAGGTACCATTTGAGCTAACTATCCTCATGCTGGTTATCTTCCCCAAAGAATTAAAAGAATCAGACCACAGTGATATATGTGCACCCATGTTCATAGCAGCGCAATTCATGATAGCTAAAACTTGGAAGCAACCCAATTTCACACCAACAGGAGACTCAAAAAAGAAAATTTGTGGTTGTTTTAAAATATAAAATGGAATACTACTTAGCCATAAAGAATGAGAAACTAGAGACATTTATAGCTAAATGGATGCACATTGAGGTGATACTGTTAAGTGAAATAAATAGGACACAACACGTGTAAAGACCAAATAGTTTCTCTAATATGAGAAACTGAAAGTGTAAATAAGGACTAAAAGGTAAAATAGATAATGTGAAATAGGAAGAAAAGGTGTAAAGGGGAAGAAGAAGTTGGAAGGGTAGGGGAAAGAAAGAAGGTTATGGATTTAATGTGAAAAAAAGAAAAAAATGGAAACAAAGTCTTTGTAGATAGGGAAGGGTGCAGTGGTTGAAGGGAGGGCAGGGGAATGGGGAAAACATAAAAACCAAGATGGATTATATAAAAGTGCACATTTCCAATGATGAATGTCATTATATTGTATACCTTAATTGTACCAGTAAAAATTATTTTTTAAAAAATAAACTACACAGAGCTGTGGGATAATTGTTATAGTTTGAATCTGGACTGTCTTCAAAGGCTCTTTTGTTGAAGATGTTAGCCCCAGAGCAGCAACAGGGGTTTTTGGTAACTTGGTAACTTGAGGGCTCTGATTAATCCACTGATGGGTTCTGATCAATGTATAGAAGGGCTCACAATTTACTGCCTCAAGGGAGGTGACTGAAACTGAGGAAGTGTGCCTAGTTGAAAGGAGTGGATATTTGGGTGCAGGACCTTCATGGTGCATGCTGTCCTTTGCCTTTAACTTCTATCTGTGTCTGTCTGTCTCTGACTCTCTCTGTCGCCCTCCCTCCTTCTTTACCTTTCTCTCTGTCTCTCTCATGAATTTCTACCATGATATTTCTGCCTTGTCACAGGTCTAAAAGCAATACAACCAGTCAAGCACAAACCTTTGAAACCACAAACCAGAAGAAATCTTTCCTCTTACAGTTGATTTTCTTAGATATTTTATCACAGCCACAGAAAGCAGACAAACAAATTAACAAATCCTAAATGTGTCATTAAGGTACCTAAAGTGTTGACTGTTTTTAACCTCACAGCTTGTTAGGGACACTAGACCTTTCTGACATGCATTTTTTTTTTCTAACAGGCATTCCATCAGTCTCGAAATATAAATGAACAAATAATAGATCTAATCCAGTATGACCATTCTTTGTTCCATGCAAATTAAAAAAAAACATAAAAATATTCGGTAAGGTGGGTATCAGACACCTTCAGTGGAATGCAATTACCTCAGGTAACACATCTGCAAATTTATCAGCATCTGCTTCCACCCCTTAATAACCTCCTTGCCAATGGCCATATTGTTAGATGAGCCTTGGTACTTCATTTCTACATCCCACCTTCTGAACTCCTGGGGCCTTACTTCATGGACACATCTTCTTCTCTGCATCCTCAACCCTTTTATATTTCCAGCCAGTTGAAAATCATGTGCAACTAACAAATTAAAACACACATGCAAAAATCCCTCTCCTTCCTACTACCCTCTTGACATTCTATCCTTCCCTTTGCCTTTGCAGCCTAGCTTCTTGAAATGTATGTAATAAATGTAATATATTTATACATAATATGCCTGTTCCATTACTGCACTGTGTATTTCTTTACCACCCAAAACAACCTGGCCTTTGACCTCAACATTCTACCAAAATTAGCCTTGCAAAGTTACAAATGATCCCCTAGCTTCTTAGTGCAATTAATACCATGTGATTCACCAGCTTACATACTAAAATTGGAAAGATGTAGAGCAGATTATCATGGTCTCTGGGCAAAGATGACAAAAAATTTGGGCAGCATCCCTTATTTTTATAGTGTGAACTCATTTTGTTATATATAGATATATATCTTGATATAGAGACTATATTTGCATATAGAAAAATTCTGGAAAGATAAATATTAAAATTTTAACTGTAGTTATGTTGGGTGATGGGATTTGGAATGACAAATTATGCATAATTATACATATTTTTCACTATACATTCATGATATTTATATAATGATCAAACATTCCTTATCTAAAAAAAATTATATTGCCTCAAAATAGGGACCACCTTTTAGTTCTTATTTAACTTCACAGCAGTATTTTTCAATATTGTTCTTTACATAGCTTCTAGGATGTCACTTTCTCTTGGTCTTCTACCCTCTCATCATCTTATTTTTAGTCCTCTTTGTGTCTCCTGTTCTATATCTATGCTTATACACTGTAACCCTATATATCATTGTCTTTTTTTGTCACTCTTTTTCATGTAGCCTCTGAGAGGTCTAATTCATATCAGTGGCTTATTTTATTCTGAAAATTTCTGAATCTATTTCTCTATCTCACAGCTACTGCCTAGTTTCAGCCTCCTTATACCCATTTAATTGGTTTACAAATGCCTTGAATCAACATTGCTTGAAAATGTCCTCATTTTCCCACAAGACAGATCAAAACAACTTATGTCTATGAAGTGAAGTAGCATTTATTTACCAAGCCTTGCTAGAAACAGATGTCATTTTTGATTTATTTCCTATTTCTCACTTCTTATAATAAAAGGTCATCAAATAGAAGAAAGCCACACATTTCACAGCCATCACTTCTTTTTTTCTCTGTCCACACTGCCTTAATGAAGGCTCTCATCATTTCTTGCTTAGGCTACTGAAACAATCTCTCACCTGGCCCTATTGCTTTCAGCCATAGCTACCTCTCATGCTTCTCTATATTGTGGCCATATAGTTTTTTTAAAAACATAAATATATGATCTCATTCTCCCTCTGAACAACCTTGGATGAAATCTCATATTCTTTCATACTCTAAGTATTCACTACCTAAACTGCAGGGTTTCCTGTGGCTCAGTGGAGCCAGATATCACAGCAGAAGGTGGGTGGCAGACAAGGGAGTGAAGCTTCATCTCTGTTTACAGGCTTCCCCATCCGTAGCATTACTGCCTGGGGTCTACTTTCTCAGATCAGCAGAATTTGATTCTCATAAGAACACGAATCCCACTGTGAACTGTACATGTGAGGAATCTAGGTAGTATTCTCTTTATGAAAAATATAAGACTGATGATGATATAAGATGGAGTTGAGGCATTGATATACTGCTGGGGAATATAATTATTATGTATATACTAATGAAAAAAGGAACTAAAAAAATAGAAATCTCACTCCAACTCTATGCATGGGAAAATTGTCTTCCATGAATCAGCTTGGTGCCAAAAATGTTAGGGAACACTGGCCTAAGAATAAATTTGCAGATATTTCAATTGTCCCCTTATAGACTCGCCAATCAGCATTCGTTGTGAATTCTCAATCTGTGAGTTGCTAGCTATTCTCCAAACATCCTATATTCTGTCAACTCTAAACCTTTTTTTTTTGTACCAGTCTTTCTGCAGGGAAACTCTTTGTCCTCCTTACTTTCATTACTCTCAATTATTCACTGAGAGTTAAGCCAGGTATCATTTCTTGATCTATTCTCAGAGTATCTGTGCTTCTCTCTAGTGGGCCACAAATTACATTCTAATCTAATTGTTCAATTATCTCTTTTACACAAGAACACTAAAGTCCTTTAGGACAGCACTATGAATATAATATTTTGAACAAACAGATATTTAAATGATTGACATAAAAAGTAGCCACTTTCAAATTGACTTGATGTCAGAGCATTGCAAAACAACGTCTAATGAAAATACCCATAAAATATTGCAAGGTCATTCCTTAAAAGTCACTATCTTACTCTAAAAGTATTTACTCAGCCTCAGTACTGACAGTTTAAAGTGTTCAAAATTCAGTAAAAGCTCCAGGAAAAATTTTAGAACTTGGCTCAGAGCCCTCAATACCAAAAAGTATACGGACTTCTGTGCAAGCATTTTGCCATAGCATCTGAAGACAAGAAAATTAGTTTCTAGTTTTCTCCTGCTCATTAAATAATTTTATTGGCAAATTGCTTGCTGCACTTGAAATTTTGGGGCAATGTTATGACTTGTATCTAGATGTCCCAATAAAGCCTTGTGCACTTATACATGGGGCTTTTTGGAGGTGACTGGATCTAGGGTGTGTGATACTGAGATCAAAGATGTGTGGTAAATAAATGGAGCATAGTTCTGAGTGTGGACAGTGGAAGCCCTACCCTGGGCATGGGTGGCACCAATCAATAGGTTTATAGCTGGATATAATGTAATGACAGAGAGGGAAAGCAGGCCTGCTGTTTCTCTTGCTGCTTTCTGTTTTGCTGACTTATACTTACCACACCATGAACATTACTTCTTTGTGATGCTCTTCTGCCATGCTGCCTTTCCTTAGAGCCAGCTGACTATGGACTGAAACCTCTACAAACTGAGCTAAATAAACCTTTCCTCCCTTAACTTCATATGACAGGTATTTTGTCTTAGAAAAGAGAAAAGTAACAAAGATAGGCAGCAACTATATGAATCCAAGAACCAGTTTGTCTTCTGGATTCCATCTGGCAATAAATTAAATGAATAGACATTTTTCAGACAAAGAAGTAAAAGCAGCAAGTACATATATGAAAAAATGTTCCACATCACTGGTCATTAGAGAGATGAGATGAAAACAACACTGAGATTCCACCTCACCCCACAAAGAATGGCTGCTATCAAGAAATCCATCAATAACAAATGTTGGCAGGGTTGTGGGGAAAAAGGAACCCTTCTCCATTGTTGGTGGGAGTGCAGACTGGTGCAATCACTATGGAAATCAATATGGAGATATCTCAAAGAGCTGAGATTAGAGGTTCCATTTGACCCAGCCATCCTTCTGCTGGGTATCTTTCCAAAAGAATTAAAAGAATCATACCAGAGATATATGCGCACCTATATTTATAGCAGCCCAGTTTGTAATAGCTAAAACTTGGAAACAGATCATTTGCCCATCAGTTGGAGACTGGATAAAGATGTGGGTTTTCTATAAAATGGAATACTACTCAGGCATAAAGAATGAGAAATTAGATTCATTCATAGGAAAATGATGTATATTGAGGATATACTCCTAAGTGAAATAAGTAAGTCATGCATGTATAAATATGAATAGTTTCTCTGGTGTGAAAAACTACAAGATCCTAAGAATATAATTGACAATGTGAAATAGGAAGAAAAGGGCTAAAGGTGTAGGGGAAATGGGAAGGGTAGGGGAAAGGAAATAAGGGAAAAGGAAAAAAATAAGAAAATAAAAAAATGGAAATAAAGTATTTGTAAATAGGGAAGGGAGGAGGGTGAAGAGACGGCAGGGACAAGGGGAAAAAAATGAGAACCAAGACCTGTCATGTAAAGGTACAAGATCCTAATGATGAATGTAACTGTACTGTATAACTAAAATGTACCAATAAACTCAATGAGAAAAAAAAGTTAATAACAACATTTCAGTTAGAATGTTTTTCAACACATTTTAAAAATTATTACAAAACAAACCTAATGACATACTCATGTATATGAGTATCTTTTGGCTTATTTACCACCTTTCTTAAGTAACATTTGTTAACGAATACTCAGCAGAATTTTTCATATACTGGTTTACTGACCTCAATGTAGCAGACATCAATACTTAATGGATTCTCAAAAAGTAAACCTAGATGACCTTCAATCAATAGGTAAAATGTTGATCTATGCTCTTCTCTCTCCTCTGATCAATTATAGAATTTAATGGCCACAAATAACAGCTAAGATACATTTGATATATTTAAAGAGTAATATAAAATATTGTGCCTTACAAATACTTCCCTGTACTCTCTCTCTCTGCCTCAAAGCCACCCAATCTTCTTTACACACAAGTATAATTCTTTAAAATACTGCATATTCACAGGTCTAGGTTAAGGTTCACTTTCCAGCCCACAGAAGATAACCATAATTATCCTATGCTGAATACATGGACTCTTTCCCCTTTTACATAAAGTTTGGGAATGTTTCCAAATGAGATCTGAGAGCAAATCTACTGAGGATTTCTGAGAAAGGCCCTCTTGGAGAATATTCAAATATGTTATTCCCTGTCCTCCATGCATGATTGTAACTAGACATGACTCAACTGCATCTGTATGTGACAATGAGGGAAGAAAGTGATAATGGCTGAGGTACTAGAGAAGAAACACTGAGGCATGTTGGTCTCCTATTACATAAATGTACTTGGTTAGCCAAGATTAAAACCACCCTTCTTTTGGGCCAGGGTTTTAGCTCAGTGGATCTGCCACCTGCCTTGCAAGCACAAGGTCCCAAGTTTGATCCTTGGTACTCAAAAAAACAAAACAAAACAAAACAAAAAAAACCTCTACTTTAGTTAAAATAGTATAATTTCATATTTTAGTAACCAAACTCCTAATTCTTCTAACTGTTTTCCAAGTGCCGTTTCTTCTGTTCAAATGGGGAAGGCATGAAATATGTGAAATGCTTGGCAAATATAGCCCACAGGTTAAATCTTTCTAGTAACTGTTTTTGTAAACAAAGTTTTATTGGAACACAGCTACTCTTCTTTGTGTTATCTATAGCTACTTTTAGGCTACAACAGCAGAGTTAAGTGGTTGTGAAAGAGATCTTATGGACCATGAAGCTTAAAAGATTTATTACATATCTGTTACAGAAAATTTCTACTGGCCCTTAAAGTATACTAGTTAATTTAAACTGGGGGCAGTATAACCCATATAACCCACATTGTAGTTTCCATGGCCCATTTTGAATATAACAATCAATGCCAAATTCCAGACAGCCAGCATTGTTTAGTGGTGTACAGTGTCAAAGTACCAAAAAACTAAGAATATACACAGCCAAAAGCCAATAGTGATCCTGTTGCTCAATATAATAATCCTTAACATAATTGCATGCTGTTA